TCGGCGGGGTGTGCAAGAATGCTACATATGCCATTGCCTTCTTGTTTGGAATTCTCACACCAGCCGCCCAGTTTGCACTGCAACATGATGATTCGGAATTCGGGAACGCCCCGCCCCTTTTGTGTTCGGAACGTGGCCAGTCTGCAAATCAAGGCTCCTTGACCAGGTTTGATCTTGTGTAAACGGGGATGAATGACATGTAATTTTCAAATGGAAGAAACGGGTGTGATGGGTCAGACGGGTGTTCTGAAACTCCAAGGGAGTGCATTGGCTCCGGCCATCGCACGGGCACGAGTGTTTGGCTCAGCCCACATTACATATTTTGTTTTTGTCCGAATGCTTATATGCCGGACTGATCAGATGTGTGAACATGCCGGCAATCTCTTGCATTTAGTTGCTGCCATTTGCAGGCCGTGCTACAAATCAGTTCAAGGCTGCTGACATGTTCCTGCAATGTGGTCGTCAACACTTTGAATGTGCGGTTGCACGCTTGGGTCGATGCCACATTTGGAATGTAAGAGTTTTCAACGTATTGCCTGGGCATGATGTGCACAGACGTCACTGCTGGCAATGGTTGCTTAGCTGGGTTAGGCGCTTGCGCCGAAACGGGGTACCCCAACGACTTGAAGGGCACTTCCCCCAGTCAAGCTCCATTTCAAGTGCTCTTGCCATTCTTTTCTTGGAGCGGAATCAGCCTAGTCTATTCGCGGCTTTTCTGTCGACAGAGTCTTCTTCAACTGGCCGCGACCGTAGGAATCGGTGATGTCCTGTGGAATATTCGCCTCAACGTGCGATTGTTCGCAAAGAACCCCGACATTTTGATGTGCAGCCACTTTTGGCACAGATGTGTTGTGGGTTCATGGGGTCCGGGCAAGGGACAACTCATGACAAGTCGTGGGATATGATGGGTCATCTTTGCTGCTGGGACATGTTAGGTCAGGATGAGGCTCGCACGGCATCAAGATGTTTTGCCACTTTCGACTATGCATTCGAGAATGGCAAGCACTCCTCGGTGGGCACGCTTTGCCAGTCACTCAAAGCAATTCAGACAACTCAGACAACTCAGGTGACAGCACAGATGACAACGCAAATGACTCAGTTCACACACTGGTGACTCTGATGGTGCTGTGTCAAAGTGGCATCCTCAAAATTACCCGGTGAATCAAAGGAAACCCTTTAGAACGTCGTTTGGAGTACTCCAAGCATGTCCACCTGACCCGGCGTGTGTTTTTTGGTTGAAGTTCAGTGCATCGGCTCTGCCGTCGCACGGTGGGCAGGAGCTCACAACTACACAACAGTTTCCTTTCTGGTGCTCAGTAGGGAATGTGGGAATGAACCTGGCGATTCCCTTAAAGGAAACCATAGGGGATGGTTGTGTTGGGGTCAGACTCCATGTCTGATTCCCTGCCTCTCTCGCAGCGATCGCTTGTTTTTTCTCCGCACGGTGGGCATTTTTTTGTTCCGAGATGGGCTCGCAGGCAAGGGGCTTCGCAGCGCAGTGGCAACCCCGGGTGCATTTGTACATCTTCAATTTGTCCAGGCGGTTGTGGTGTCAATCGCATGCGATGGACTGTTCGATCTTAGTTGATCACGGCTCACTCTCAAAATTGGCTGCCACGCAGGAATTCACACTCATCAGTCACGGGGGCCTTGCTGCCTCTCTCTCCCCTCCGTCTTGAAACCATTCCCAAAAAAGGCACCGTCCCCCCCCCTCTCCGTTGTTGCAACACACACACACACACCCACATATTCTGTGACTACAACTGTTGGTCTAGCTTCAGTGCAGGGGGGTGGGGGCGCTTGTCTGCGCCTGAAGAACATCAACCACAGCCGGAACACGTCCAACCAACAACTTTTGAAGGGGTTCCCTGGTTGCTCATGGGATTTTGTAGAACCCTTTGGTGGCTGGATTTCTGATGTCCAGGGCGAGATGGTACATTGCTCTTTCGAGGCGGGGCAATGGCCAACTATGTACAACCTGTCGGATGATTTGGGTGTTCCCCACAATCCAGATCCGCTCTTACAACATTGGACACGCCCCCTACTAATGAACCAGGGGTTGATTAGTCCTTGGTAGCAGTTGACAACCTGGCTGGCAGACTGTCGTGCGCTAACGTGCCTTGTTTTCAGGGTGCAGTTGTCGAACGTTTCAACCTCAAGCTGGGGTTTTGTTTGTTTGTCAGATCTATGAACGTGCAATTCTCCAATTCAAGCAGTCTGGACTGAGTAGATAGGCTATGCCAGAAGGCCCCCCCCCCCAGTGTGATCAGGTGACCAGGCGACTCGGTCGACTCGGTTGGCTTCATGTGATTCTTCGAGGGCAACATGGGCAAAGTCCTTCGGGAGTGCATTGGCTCCGGCCATCGCACGGCGCGCATGTTTGCTTCGGCTCCGGCCGCGAAGGCACCGCGTGCTCCACGCAGTGCGGCAGCCAAGCAGCCAGGCAGTCAGGGGCAGCCAAGTGCTTGGAGCAGACGGGCAGACGAGCAGACGAGCAGACGAGCAGACGGGCATGGGCAGACGAGCAGACACGGCGCTGGCTCCGGCCATCTCGCATGATGCTTGTTTGCATGCTTTGAACCTGGGTGAAGATGCTGCTTTTGCCACGCAAGCCATCGCACACGTCGAATCGCCGCTCAATACGCAGCGACTCTCCAGGTGTTGTCAGCAAGTTCTAAGGCGTCGCTTTGTTGCCATTTGGTGTGGATGTGCTGGCACGCACTTCGGTGCTGTGTTCATGCAGTTGCTGTGAAATCGCAAGCTGGCAAGCGCATTGTTGACATCCTGAAGCATTTGTCCCACCACCTCAGACGTCTGCAAATGCATGACATGCCAGGGCCGCCCCTCAAACTGCCACCCAAAGTGGGTAAGTTTACCAGAAGTCCGATGGGTCTCGTTGTGGGTGTCAGGAAAAGCCAGGCTGAATTTTGTTTCTTGGGACAGCATGAACAAGTTCGTCAGGTGTGCACCGGCTCCGGCCATCGCACCTTTGCTCCGGCTCCGGCCGCCAGCGGGCTCTGGTCTTTCGGCTTGCCATGGGTCCATTTGGTTTCTTTCCCTGTATTTTGCATTTGCTTAAGAATATTTTTATTTTCCCCTGTTGGTTTTAACGGGAATCAATCACTACTGGACATATTATTCTATTTTTTCCAGGGGTCTTAACCGAATGGAAGGTATGGAGTGCACTGGTATGGATTCACCGATATTGCCCGTGTAGGTGTTTTTTGGTGTGGGCCATGTGCTTGCGCAAAGTCTCCACGGAACAAACATCTGACTTTGTTTTCGTGTTTCGTCCTTTCCTCGCAGGAAACCAAAGGAAACCAAACCGTCTGTTGGGCACGCCGATCTCAATCAGGGGGCCTGAGCCTTGGGAGGTCGGGCGCGGTTTTTGCTGATTGGGAACAACCCTCTGCAAATTGGTCATATATATATATATATATATATTATTATAATATATATATATATGAATATATATATATATATATATGCATATAACTGGTGCCGCTGGATTTAGAGGCTCCTGGCAACCTCTTTCGGGCTCCGGGGATCTCATTGCGTCGGGATGGCGACGCAGGCGAGGCCTCACACAGGCATCCGTCACACCATGGGCCAAAGCTGTGAGCTCGGAGCTGCTTTCAATCCCATAGTAGCACTGTTGTAGCGTAGCTGGAGCACCAGAATGGTACCATTGGTGTTGACCCACGGCCATGTGGCGGAGGGTGTATCTTTTTTTGGTGTAGGACTCGCTCCGTACAGACACGTTGCTCTGTTTAACTCTTCTTCTCTGAGCAGTGAGTCACTGAGCCACTGAGCGGGCGCTACAAAGAACAGAGCTCAGGTGCGAGTTGCCTCAGCGAGGTGCTGAGGTTCTTGCGCTTGTGCCTTTGGATTGTACCGTCTCACTCATTGTGACCGCTCAAAGCTGCCGGCCTGCCTTGTGTATCGTTAGCTTGCATTTGCTTTGTGGTGCAGTGTCTGCCTGTAGTGGGAGGGAGGCGAGATAGAGAGAGAAAAAAAGAGACACGCAAAAGGCGATTTGTTATTCAAGATACCTCTTTTTTGAGATGCCCGACACTCAATGTTGGCCCCCGCATCCAAGGGACATGCTCGATGCTGTTGCTGGTGATGCAAAGATGCTTGGAGATGCTCGACATGGAGAGGCCGGAAGCCTTGCAGGACTCGGATTCTCAGACTGGGCAGGGCTCGACCGGAATCACAAATTCGTGGGGTCACTTGGTGTCGGCTCTGGCCAAAGCACAGAGGGAAATCAGAGTCATTCGCTGAATTCAACCAGGTTGGCAACTTTAAATGTTATTGCACTGCGTGGAGGATCTTGATGAGATCATTCACACGGAGGTCTTCAAGAGCGGCCGGAGTCCGGGTCTTGCTGTTTTGTCGCATGTCACCGCTTGAGGTTGTTTGGCTCACTTTTGTGCACTTGCACGCTCTGCGCATCTCTAAGTGTTGGCTCTCCGTTGGATTTGGTATGTCTGCTTAACGTCGACTGCTGTCTTTGGCGGCCTCCAGCCCTTGTGGGCTTTGAGGGGCTGGACTCCAGGCGCGCGCTGCCCAAGCCTGTTGGGGAGGAACACCTTGGATGGCCCAAATATTGAGCATCGCTCAGCCGCAGGCCAATCAATCCCCTTCGGACTTGACAGTCACGGTGCTCCACAGCATGTGCTCCACAGCAGTCTACTGAACTGGCTTCCTTGCCGAATGCTCTCACCAGGGCCGGTGGCCCACACTTCCCGAAGCCGGCGCCCGCCAAGGCGCTGGAAGCTCGGCCAGCTAAGTGGTTGGGAAGTGGCTCTCTGGACTGCAACCTGTACAAGGCCTGGGCGGCTACGTGCGCGTCGTGCAGATGATGAGGCTGGAGCGTTCGCCAATACTTGGCGGCTACGTGTCGATGAAGGAGGCGCAGCTGGATACTGCGGTGAAGATCCTTCAAGATGCAGTGACGCTGGACAGCGAGGATACGCTGGGCAGCTGGACGTGCAGGACATGCTGATGGTGCTGGACACGCAGAACACACGGACTACGCGGAACACGCAGGACCCGCTGCTGCTGGCGACTGGCTGCTTTCGGGATTTGCTTTGTCACTGCTGGGATTGCAGATGACAGGCTAATATCAAACATGTCGAAAGCACCGATGTGTGGAGACACGCAGTTGCATCGGCTCCGGCCATCGCAAAGACGTGCTCCAGCGTCAGCATGAGTCTTCCACCGGAGATCAGTGAATGGCTGCACCTGAAAAAAATGCCGAAGCAGTAGATCGATTGCCCAGGTGTCTTCTTCGTCTTCTCCATGAGTTGCTTGCGTCTGGAACGCAGACTTGCCCGGAATCAGGGCCGCCAGGGGTCTTGCTTCGGCTCTTTGGAGACGGCTGCTGGACTGCAATCTGTACATGGGCTGACACGGATGCCAATACTTAGGCGGCTATGTGAGCGTCGTGCAGATGATGAGGCTGGAGCGTTCCCCAATACTTGGCGGCTACGTGTCGATGAAGGAGGTGCAGCTGGATACTGCGGTGAAGATCCTTCAAGATGCAGTGACGCTGGACAGCGAGGATACGCTGGGCAGTTGGACATGCAGGACATGCTGATGGTGCTGGACACGCAGAACACACCGAATACGCGGAACACGCAGGACCCGCTGCTGCTGGCGAGTGGCTGCTTTCGAAAAGTGCTTTGTCACTGCTGGGATCGCAGATGACAGGCTAAGTCCAAAGCATGTCAGAAGCACGGATGTGTGGTTGGTTCACGCAAATGCATCGGCTCCGGCCATCGCAAAGACGTGCTCCACAGCATCAGCATGAGTCTTCCACCGGAGATCAGTGGATGGCTGCACCTGAAAAACATGCCGAAGCAGTAGATCGATTGCCCAGGTGTCTTCTTCGTCTTCTCCATGAGTTGCTTGCGTCTGGAACGCAGACATGCCCAGAATCAGGGCCGCCAGGGGTCTTGCTTGGCAGGTCCCAAACTAGCCTTGGCAGTGGGCTAAGTGGTTCAAGGGGAAGCGGCTGTTTGGAGTGATCGGCTGGCCGGGCTAGAACCTGTAGATGGCCTGACATGGATGCCAATACTTGGAGCTACGTGTGCGTCGTGAAGATGATGAAGGAGGCCGCAGCCGGATACTGCGCTGAAGACCCTTTTACGATGTGCTGGACATGCTGCTGGAGATGCAGGACATGCTGATGTTACTGGACGCGCAGAACACATGGAATACGCGGAACAAGCAGGACCCGCTGCTGCTGGCGACTGGCTGCTTTCGGGAAGTGCTTTGTCACTGCTGGGATTGCAGGTGACAGGCTAAGTCCAAAGCATGTCGGAAGCACTGATGTGTGGAGTCACGCAGTTGCATCGGCTCTGGCCATCGCAAAGACGTGCTCCACAGCATCATGAGTCTTCCACTGAGGGATCAGGGGATGGCTGCAGATCCATTGCCTGGAGGATGTCGCACCGTCTTCGTCAGGGCCTGCACTGGTTTTGCTTGCCAGGTCCCAAACTAGCCTTGGCTGGAAGCTGGTCCAGTGCTCTTTGGAGTGAACTGCTGCCCATCTAGAACCTCTAGATGGCCTGACATGGATGCCAAATACTTGGCGGCTACAGGTGGGTCGCGCAGATGATGAAGGAGGACGCAGCCGGATACTGCGCTGAAGACCCTGGAAGATGCATAGCTGCTGGACACCATGGATACGCTGGACAAGCTTGACATGCAGGACATGCTGGATACGCAGAACGCGCGTTGCATGCAGGACACGCTTGGGGTGCTGGACATGCAGCACACGCTGCTGCACGCTCAGGATGTTGTATGCGAGACATGCTATGCGACTGGCTGCTTTCGGGAAGTGCTTTGTCACTGCTGGGATTTCAGGTGACAGGCTAAGTCCAAAACATGTCGAAAGCACCGATGTGTGGAGTCACGCAGTTGCATCGGCTCCGGCCATCGCAAAGACGTGCTCCACAGCATCAGCATGAGTCTTCCACTGAGGGATCAGGGGATGGCTGCACCTGAAAAACACTGCGAGGCAGTAGATCGATTGCCCAGGAGCTTGTTTCAAGCGTAGTCGTCTGCTCCATGAGGTGCTTGCGTCTTAACGCGGACATGCCCAGCCAGAATCAGGAGTGGTTCAAGGGGAAGCGGCTGTTTGGAATGAACGGTTGGCTAGAACCTGTAGATGGGCTGAAATGGCTGTCAATACTTGGAGCTACGTGTGCGTCGTGCAGATGATGAAGGAGGCCGCAGCCGGATTCTGCGCTGAAGACCCTTTACGATGCAGAGACTAGACACCGAGATATGCTGGACACGCTGCTGGACATGCAGGACATGCTGATGTTGCTGGACACGCAGAACGCACGGAATACGCGGAACACACAGGACCTGCTGCTGCTGGCGACTGGCTGCTTTTGGGAAGTGCTTTGTCACTGTTCGGATTTCAGATGACAGGCTAAGTCCAAAGCATGTCGGAAGCACTGATGTGTGGAGTGACGCAGTTGCATCGGCTCCGGCCATCGCAAAGACGTGCTCCACAGCATCAGCATGAGTCTTTCACTGAGGGATCAGGGGATGGCTGCACCTGAAAAACACTGCGAGGCAGTAGATCGATTGCCCAGGAGCTTGTTTCAAGCGTAGTCGTCTGCTCCATGAGGTGCTTGCGTCTTAACGCGGACATGCCCAGCCAGAATCAGGAGTGGTTCAAGGGGAAGCGGCTGTTTGGAATGAACGGCTGCCAGGCTAGAACCTGTAGATGGCCTGACATGGATGCCACTACTTGGCGGCTACGTGTGCATTGTGCAGATGACGAAGAAGGCGGCACCGGATGCTGCGCTGAAGACCCTTCAAGATGCATAGCTGCTGGACACGGTGGATACGCTGGACAAGCTTGACATGGAGGACATGCTGGATACGCAGAACGCGCGTTGCATGCAGGACACGCTGGGTGCTGGACATGCAGCACACGCTGCTGCACGCTCAGGATGTTGCATGCGAGACATGCTATGCGACTGGCTGCTTTCGGGAAGTGCTTTGTCACTGCTGGGATTTCAGGTGACAGGCTAAGTCCAAAGCATGTCGGAAGCACCGATGTGTGGAGACACGCAGTTGCATCGGCTCCGGCCATCGCAAAGACGTGCTCCACAGCATCAGCATGAGTCTTCCACTGAGGGATCAGGGGATGGCTGCACCTGAAAAACACTGCGAGGCAGTAGATCGATTGCCAAGCAGGTTGTTTCAAGCGTAGTCGTCTGCTCCATGAGGCGCTTGCGTCTTAGCGCGGACATGCCCAGCCAGAATCAGGAGTGGTTCAAGGGGAATCGGCTGTTTGGAATGAACGGCTGCCAGGCTTGATCCTGTAGATGGCCTGACATGGATGCCACTACTTGGCGGCTACGTGTGCATCGTGCAGATGATGAAGAAGGCCGCAGCCGGATACTGCGCTGAAGATCCTTCAAGATGCAGAGATGCTGGACACCGTGAATACGCCGGACAAGCTTGACATGCTGGACATGCTGACGGTGCTGCACGCAGAACTTGCGGAACATGCAGGGGACGCTGGGGGGCTTAACAAGCAGAACACGAGGAACATGCAGGATGCTGCTGTTGTTGGACACGCTAGACTTGACTTGCTGGCAACTGGCTGCTTGCGGGAAGCTCTTCGTCACGGCTGCGATTTCGGACAATAGGCTAAGTCCAAAGCATGTTGGAAACAACGACTGCGTAGTTGCATCGGCTCCGGCCATCGTGCTACTCAGCGTGAAGGTGGCTGATGAAAAACACCGCGAGGCGGTAGATCGATTGTCCAGGAGGTTGCCGCTTGTGTCCGGAACGGAGTTCCCCACTGCCGCAGTGCGCGGTTGCCAATACTTGGCGGCTACTTGTGCGTCCTGCAGGTGGAGGCGGCCGTGGGATGCTGCGCAGAAGATCCTTCAGGATGTGAAGACGCTCGAGACACGGCTGGACATGCTGGACATTCGGGAGGCGCTGGACACGCACCTGCAGAGCCTGCAGGACCCGCAGCTGGTCACTGTTGGGATCTTAGGCGACAGGCTAAGTCCAAACCATGTCGGACACACCGTTTTTTTAGTCACGCAATTGCATCGGCTCCGTTCAATGCAGAGACGTGCTGCGCGGTATCAGCGTTTGCGCCGTATGGTTTCATTCTTGTGACTGGCTGCTGCCTAGGTGTGGATCGCCATCCAGAGCTGATCCAGACCCTCCATCTAGATTTCTTTGGCTGCTTAGGCGCCAGAGTATGGTCCATCCTTTTCGCATCCTGACGATGTGGGTTTAGGAGGTGATCCCAGTCAACATGTCAGTTGTCTCACTACGTTGTGCCTCATGACGTACTTGCAAAGGAACTCCTCTCCTTCCCGCCATCATCACTTGATGTAACTCCCCGGAACAAGCTGTTGGGCTGCCTTTGTTTGGGCATGGCTGTAGTAGGCCATGATTGGATTCGTCATCAGCCTGGTCATCAGCATGGCGTGTGTGGCCTCGCAAACTAAACAACACCGTTGTAACATGGTGTGCCTTTGTGTGCCTGTGCTGCAGCACGCAGACGACGGAGATGGATATGGCATGGACTTCTGGACGTGGAGCGCGGCTGAACATCGAGCTGGAGATTCTCAATATGATGGACATATGAGTGGGAGGATTTGGATGCAGGCTGATGCGGAATATCGTGGAACTCTAAAATCATGGAGTCACCCAGTTGGCTCCGGTCATCGCAACTGTGTGATCCGCAAATTCCCTAAATCTTTTCGTTGTTTGGGCAAGTGCGGGTTTTTGAAGGGATCCGAGTCAATGTCAATTGTCTCACCCAGTCCCAAGACTACGCTGTGCCTCATGACGTACTTATAAAAGTACTCTCCTGTCTTGCCACCCTTATTGGATGTAGTTCCCCGCAACAAGCTGTTGTGCTAGCATTTTGGGCTATAGCAGGCTATAATTGGCTTCAGGTTGGTATGTGTAGCTTCGTATTCTGAACAAAAACACCCGCAGCCACATCATTTGGCGCTTGTGCTGCTATTCTAGAGCGCTTACATGGCGGAGATTGACTCCGCGCATGCTGAATGAAACAGCCGCACCGTCACTTCATTCGGTGCCGTCCCTGCTGCTTCTACAGCACGGAGACGAGGGCGACTCGATTGAAATGCTTCCAGGATGCGGAGCGGTGAGGAGCTGGAGATGCCGGACATGCTGAACAAAATGCTGAGCAAGCACCTTGTGGCTTTCCTCCACGCCAAGGCCAAGAGCGATTCTCCCCCAAAAAGAGTCCCAGAACCCCAGATGTTCGTCTAAGGCAGGCTGATCCGGTCCCCTGGAACCCGCAAGGGAGGGCCAAATTCACCAGGGGCTTCTTGTAGTCTGGCGATTGGATGCTGGCAAACAGCAGGAACTTCCATAGGATTCGGACATAGGCCGACGCGGAGCTCGAGCGCTAGAGTCATGGAGTCGCGCAGTTGCATGGCTCCGGCCATCGCAACTGTGTGCTTCGCGGGGGGTTCGCGTGAATTGCATGTCATGTGGCCCTTACATTATGCAGGCGCGGCCATGAGCTGTGGTCTTTACGGTGCACATGCTACATGCCCCATTCTCCTCACTGTTGCCGCTAGATTCACCGGCAAGGACCTTCATGATGTTGCGCTTAGGGCGACATGTACCGCAGGAAATATGCTGCAGCTGGCAGCAGCCCACAGAAGTTCATGACATGTGCTGCCGTTGCTATATCCACTGGCTGTCAGGATCGTTGTGGAAACAGCAATGTTACAGATTTCAATCGTGCCGTGTCAGAGGCACTGATTAGAAGGAAATAACGCGATGTGGACAAACACAGCAAGCAACAAAGCAACTCGACATTTTTGTTGTCTGCGACCAAGGGGCAAGTTGTAATTGTCAAATTCAGCGGATTGGCCTCGCGAGCAAAAGCATGTATGCCATGCGCTCTGTAATGTTGGGCTTTCTTTGTAGTGCATGCAGATTGCAATGCGGCGCTTGGGTGCCGTTAGAGCTAATCACACTTGGTGAATGAGAACCGAGCAAAAGGGGCCAGCAATCATCTTAAGTTGGCGTATCCCATGTCGGGGTTTCTCTGAAAAAGCCCGCAAGAAACCAACCGTATTGGTGGAATTTTCCGCGCAAGCCCACATATCTCCGCATTCGAGTCGCATTCTGAAGATGTGCCCGTTTCATATTTGTCTGGAAAGAGAGAGAAAGAGAGAGAAAGAGAGAGAGAGAGAGAGAAAAAGAGAGAGAGAGAGAGAGAGAGAGAGCTGTCAGCCCGGCTCCGCGTGACTAATTTTCACGTTTTCTCTTCATCCAAACTGGCTAGCAATGTGCTCTCGAGTTTAAGCATGACTTCACAACACTTAGAGCAACTTGACTCAGCATGCATCATGAAACGGCGTATTCTACCGTGGCATAAGCGTCCTACTTGGGGCAAAAGAGCCAACTGCTTTCGGACCCTGGCAAGAAACGCCAGCAAGCGCCCTGAGCGGATGGGAGACCGGTTGCTTAGATGGCATGCTGGCACGGTGCTTGGCTTTGCATTGGCTCCGGCCATCGTAATCGAGCGCCTCTCCTGGACCCGCGTACATCGCGCTTTGGGAATCATCTCATTGCTACTGCTACTGTGCAGGATTCGAGCCTCTGAGGGAAACTGCGCTGGAAACACACGACAAGTTGAAGCTCACAGCAACGTCTTTTTCGATTATTGTTCGAGCAAACCTTCGCCTCCTGTTTGATGTGCTGATTCCCAAATTGCCAGGAAATCTATTTCTTCATGGTTGCCACATCTCCAGACTGCTAACGCATTGACAGAGGGATCTATTTTAAACGGCGTGATGCGGTCTTGTATTTTCAGTCTCGACGGAGAGAGATATGGAGATCCAGCAGGACAGAGAGAGAGAGAGAGAGAGAGAGACAGAGACAGAGAGCGGGAGAGAGAGAGCAGGACAGAGAAAGGAGAAAGAAAGGGAGATCAAAGAGCAAGAAAGAGAGCTGCTATGTGTTTGCCAAACAAAGCGGGTAAGGTGTGCATGCATAGTAAGGCCGCACGATTTCACATGATTCTCCATGATATCCTTTATGCTTTGTGTGAATTCCCTAAATTATCATGACTCATCACTGGGAGCCACTTGGTGCAGCATTCATCATGACACGGCGACCCTACCATGACACAATCATCCTACTTGGGGCAAAAGAGCCAATTGCTTTCGGACCCTTGCAAGAAACGGCCAGAAAACGCCCTGAGCGGATGGGAGACCGGCTGATGGCATGCTGGCACGGTGCTTGGCTTTGCATTGGCTCCGGCCATCGCAATCGAGCGCCTGTGCAGCCATGTCTCCGCGTCTCCTGGACCCGCGTGCATCGCGCTTTGGGAATCATCTCACTGCTACTGCTACTGTGCAGGATTTGAGCCTCTGAGGACAACTGCGCTGGAAACACACGGCAAGTTGAAGCTCACAGCAACGCCTTTTTCGATTGTTGTTCGAGCAAACCTTCGCCTCCTGTTTGATGTGCTGATTCCCAAATTGCCGGGAAATCCATTTCTTCATGGTTGCTCGCTTCTTCGAACTCTAGCTGAACGGCTTTGTCAGAAGACATGTATCAGATGTCAATAGATGTGCAGCCCCATCTCGAGAAAGAACACACACACGCACACACATGCAGTTGCTTGCTCAGAGTGCTACTGCCATTTCCCACATCTCCAGACTGCTAACGCATTGACAGACGGATCTATTTTAAACGGCGTAATGCGGTCTTGTATTTTCAGTCTCGATGGAGAGAGATATGGAGATCCAGCAGGACAGAGAGAGAGAGAGAGACAGAGACAGAGAGAGAGAGCGGGAGAGAGAGAGAGAGAGAGCAGGAGAGAGAAAGGGAGATCAAAGAGCAAGAAAGAGAGCCCTGCTACCTAAATTATTGTGAGGTGCAGCAGTTATCATGACACGGCGTACCCTACCATGACACAATCATCCTACTTGGGGCAAAAGAGCCAATTGCTTTCGGACCCTTGCAAGAAACGGCCAGAAAACGCCCTGAGCGGATGGGAGACCGGCTGATGGCATGCTGGCACGGTGCTTGGCTTTGCATTGGCTCCGGCCATCGCAATCGAGCGCCTGTGCAGCCATGTCTCCGCGTCTCCTGGACCCGCGTGCATCGCGCGTTGGGAATCATCTCACTGCTACTGCTACTGTGCAGGATTTGAGCCTCTGAGGACAACTGCGCTGGAAACACACGGCAAGTTGAAGCTCACAGCAACGTCTTTTTCGATTGTTCTTCGAGCAAACCTTCGCCTCCTGTTTGATGTGCTGATTCCCAAATTGCCGGGAAATCCATTTCTTCATGGTTGCTCCCTTCTTCGAACTCTAGCTGAACGGCTTTGTCAGAAGACATGTATCAGATGTCAATAGATGTGCAGCCCCATCTCGAGAAAGAACACACACACACACACACATGCAGTTACTTGCTCAGAGTGCTACTGCCATTTCCCACATCTCCAGACTGCTAACGCATTGACAGACGGATCTATTTTAAACGGCGTGATGCGGTCTTGTATTTTCAGTCTCGACGGAGAGAGATATGGAGATCCAGCAGGACAGGAAGAGAGAGAGAGAGAGAGAGACAGAGACAGAGAGAGAGAGCGGGAGAGAGAGAGAGAGAGAGCAGGAGAGAGAAAGGGAGATCAAAGAGCAAGAAAGAGAGCCCTGCTACCTAAATTATTGTGAGGTGCAGCATTCATCATGACACGGCGTACCTTACCATGACACAATCATCCTACTTGGGGCAAAAGAGCCAATTGCTTTCGGACCCTTGCAAGAACGCCAGAAAACGCCCTGAGCGGATGGGAGACCGGCTGATGGCATGCTGGCACGGTGCTTAGCTTTGCATTGGCTCCGGCCATCACAATCGAGCGCCTGTGCAGCCATGTCTCCGCGTCTCCTGGACCCGCGTGCATCGCGCTTTGGGAATCATCTCACTGTTATTGCTACTGTGCAGGATTCGAGCCTCTGAGGGAAACTGCGCCGGACACACAGGGCAAGTTAGCAACGTTGTTTTGGAATGTTGTTCCAGCAAAACCTTCGCTTCCGGTTTGATGTGCTGAATCCGAGAGAGCCAGGAAGTCCATTTCTTTATGATTGCTCCGTTTTTCGAACTCTGGCTGAACGGCTTTGTCAAAAAACATGTGATAGATGTTAAGGGAACCCAAACAGTGTGCAGCCCCATCTTGAGAACGCACAAGCATGCGTTTACATGCTCAAAGAGCTACTGCGATGACCCACATCTCTAGACTCCAACAGCATTGCACAGACTTGAGCTGGCAACACATGCTGACAGAGATCCAGTAGCAGGGAAAGACAGAGAGAGAGAGAGAGACACAGGGAGAGAGAGAGAGAGAGAGAGAGCCAGAGGGAGAGAGAGCGAGACAGAGAGAGAGAGAGCGAGAGAGGGAGAGAGACAAGTCAAAGAGCTTTGATAGGCTGGTATGTGCTTGCCAAAAGCAGCGTGCAGGGATGCATGCATCTTAATGCCCCACGATCTCGCATGATTCTCCATGATATCCTTTATGATTTGTGTGAGTTCCATAGATAACAATGACTCATGACTTAGAGCAACTTGACGTAGCATGCATCATGACGCGGCGTATTCTGCCATAACACAAGCATCCTACTTGGGGCAACAGAGCCAACTGCCTTAGGACCCTGGCAAGAAACATGTAGCTGCGTGCTCCAGAAAGCGCTCTGAGCGGATGGGAGACCGGCTGCTCACCTGGATGCTGGGATGACTGATGGGATGGCGGCATGCTGGCATGGCACTTGGCATTGCATTGGCTCCGGCCATCGCAATCGAGCGCTATGCAGTAATGTCTGCCAAACCCGGTCTTTCTTTGCGAACCACCTTGCTCCGAAAACTGCAGCGATAGTCGAAAGCGCACCGCGACACTGCTGAACAGTGCCCGTCGTCGCAAAGCCAGACCCATTTCTGCCGATTGTGGAATTGGAAGACTGCCGTCATTTTAATTCGGTCCCTTGTTCAGTTCCGTGATTGTCGGAGAGCGAGTACCAACAAAACCTTCAGGATTAAGGGCCGCCGAAAGACTGTCGAACTGTGCCGCAGTACGACGCTGGTCTTCGCATGTTTTGCGGCCGGAACAGGTTTCACGGCAGATTGTGTACTCTTGTAATCAAATGGACAAACATGATAACACACGTAGGCAGGCGCATACACATGCAGGCAGAGCCCGTAGACAAATGTAGACGTACACGCAGACACAATGTACATGCAGACACAAGCAGGCACACGCAACTGGGACCAAAGCCTATTTGATCTATGCGCAGATTCAGACTTTCAGACCCCCCCATGTGGGTGTTTCGCTGGCTTTCAATCACCGCCCGCAACGACCTTTCTTCCATTCCCCCAGGTTTCACCATCGCACCACCATGCGGGGCATGGCGGGGCATGCATGGCCGGGAAGGAGAGGCGGGGTCAAAAGACCCATTTACTTTGGGTTGGTAGGGATGGTCATCAACCTCTTAGTATGCAAAGATTCTGAATGAACAGTAATCCATGGCCTGCACAATAAGTTTTGACCGCCCAAATTTTGCTGAGCGGAGAGAAGCCTCTTGCCGAAGCCCGACGAATTTGCGTCGCAGGGCGGGCAGCTCAGTTTCTGGCGAGCACAGTGCTACTTGTATGATGCAACAGTCTTTCTAAGCACAGGAAGACGTCGAATGTCTGGAACATGCCGGAGTTTCAGTGTCGACCACATGCATGAGGCTTCTCTTTGCCATGACATGGCGCGCAACTTCCGACACTTGCACAGCTAAATGGGGTTCGCTCACCAGGTTTTGCTCACCGCATTTTACTCCAGATAAGTCGGAAGCTGGCAGGTGCCTTGGCTCATTGACCATATCTCAAAACCTGAAGGCGTCAAAACAGTTGTTCTTTGCAAATTCTACTCCGACCCAATACTACCGAAGGGTTGCACACGAGTATGTTTTTGGCATGTTGTTTTCTTCTTTGTTTTCTACCGTGGCT